AGCCCTCTCTGTGGGCACCCCAGCCCTGCCTCCCCCCACGGCCTCCTCCTCACCAGCAGCCCCCCCGGAGGAGAGTTCCCCTGGGTGCCGCCCGTACAGAGCAGCACTGCCAAGGACATGGCAGCCGGGTAGCGGGGACAAGGCTCCATCATGCACAGATGATGCTGCAGGGTGCGGGTGGAGGGTGTGGCCACCATGGCGCTGCTGGGCTGCCTGGGTGATCTACGGCGGGCCGTGGAGGCGGTGGATGGCCCTGCGGGCAGGTGGGGCACAGTGGGGTGGGCAGGGCGAGGGCGGGGTGGTTTTGGGGCACTCGGTCTCTAAAAGGTTTGCCATCACTGTCATAGTTTGTGTGGGAGAAAGAGGGTGGAGACGGCTCCTCCCTAATAGTTCCCAGAATATATGCTTTGTGGGGGTGGTAGCCTGCTTCAGTTTGGCAAGAGTCTGTTTACGGGGGAGGAACAAGAAAGAAATCTGCTTGGAAGAATCAGAATGGGTCTTCTTGGAATTTAAAATGGTTCACGCTTAGTTTTGTAGGAGTCTTTACCGCAGGGGTTCCTGGAGATTCTCTTATCTCTTGAGGTAATTACATCCCAGCACCTTATTTGATCTAAACTGAAAAGGCCAGATTCAGTTTGGACTATTGCACAAGAGTACAAGATAATCTAAAATGAAAGAGAAAAAAAAATAATCATCCCTGAAAAACAGCAAAAAAAAAAAACCCTACCCACTTTATGTTTAAAGCGGCTGTTCTCAAATTAATGAATGTTGGGACAGGAAGCTGATTCCAAACCAGCGTCAGGAGGGGGAAAAAACCGTTTAAACATCAGATGTACAACTATGGGGCAAAGGTAGTTTATTTTACGCAAGTTTTTCTTCGTTAAAACAGTACAAAGTCCAAAAGTGATTTATATGCATTTCTTGAACAAAGATGTAATTGTGTCATAATGATAAAAGGTGTGGATTGTGATGACATTTGTGCTCTAGGAAAGAGTAAGCCAATAAAACTGGCAGGGTGAGAATCTCAAAAGAATTGGATGAAAGACGTGCGGGGGTGCAAAGTGGAGCTTCCTGGTAAGAAACGGACGGGGGAGAACAGAACATCTTGAGCTCTTGGGAGGAACCTGACGTGCATCAACACCAGCTAAAGGCACAGACAGCTGTGATTTCATATTGTTGTGTCTAGAATCACCTGCCAGAAACAATCTGCCTGACTCCCAGCAACTCTGAGTGGTTGACAAATGGTTAAAAACATTTTAAAAGAAGAAAATAGCACAAAACAAAGGGAATAAAGGTGGCAGAGGAAAGGGAAGGAAGGAAGGAAGGAAGGAAAGAACTAAGGAAGGAAGGAAGGAAGGAAGGAACTGTCAACTGTAGCCCAGACAGGAAACATGGCCAGATAACCTAATTCTACACTTTATTGTAAAGCTATACTGAGGGAATCTTCCCAGTCTGAAAGTCCAGTCCACTCACCGTCTGCTTTACAGCCTGAGAACTTAGGGAGGGGGGCTCTTCAGCTTCTTGCTCCATCCACTGTGCAGCTGCAGACTTTGCTGTCTCTTTCCAAGCTGAGACTCTCCATAGACACTCTTACCAAGCGGTTCCCTGGGCCAGGGGTCCCCAGTACCCTGGCTGTGGACCGGTCCAGGTCCATAGCCTGTTGGGAACTGGGCTGCGCAGCTGGAGGTGAACAGCGGGGCGAGTGAAATTGTGCGTGCATGGTGGGATCTGGATTGCACACTCCCTCCCCTCCCCCTGCCAGTCCATGGAAAAATTGTCTTCCATGAAATTGGTCCCTGGTGCCAAAAAGGTTGGGTACTGGACCCCTAGGCCAGTGATGGCGAACCTTTTAGAGACCGAGTGCCCAAACTGCAACCCAAAACCCACTTATGCATCGTCAGGTGCCGGGTGGGTGTGGCCCATTGGGTGGGCGTGGCTGCGGTGGTAACACCAGACTGGGTGGGACTAAAAAGTTCAATCAATCAATTCCAATTTTGCAAGATCTGTTTTTTTCCGTGAGAAGTTGAAATTGACTGATTGATTGAATCCTTTTTTTTTTTTTGCACATGGCAGCGGAGGCCTAAAGAGAAAAGGTTTTATAAAACCCAGCTGCAGGCCTAGGACTGGGACGACGGTGCGCGTGCCCACAGAGAGGGCTCTGAGTGCCGCCTCTGGCACCCGTGCCATGGGTTCGCCACCACTGCCCTAGGCAGTCTTCCAACTTATCATGACATCAGTTTTGATATGTCTGAGGAATTCTGGGAGTTGAAGTCCGCAAATCTTAAAGTTGCCCAGGTTGGACACTCCTACCGTAAAGCATACATCCAAGTTTTACAGTCTTGTAAGCTTTCAATTTCTCCCTTCTGTTCCTTTTCTCTCCCTTCCTTTCGTGTGCACTTAATCATGGCATCAGCTGGCAGCCCCAGGCAGACTCCCTTCCTTCAGAGGGGTCCATAACTCAGGGACTTTAATCTGCAGTGGGCTAAAACTTGGCAAACAAAGAGCCAATTTCAGAATCCCGCCTGCAAGTTCTAAATCTAAGCACTGTGGCAGGAGATGCTTCCTCCAAGGATTAAAATATTGCTCCAGCCAAAGAGACGAGAGCTTTGACACGCTCTGCTGGAGGCTTGCCACTTCCTCCCAATTTCTTTTATCCAAGGATTTAATTTAAATGTTTAATCAGGAACTGAAAGTTTACAAAGACCACAGAACCGGTCACGTTTTGGGCGCAGAAGTGCTGCTGGAAAAGATAGGAAGAAGCTTTTTCTTCTGAATTTATGCATACAGGTAGTCCTTGACTTACAACCACAGTTCAGCCCAAAATTTATGTTGCTAAGCGAGACAGTTGCTAAGGGAAACACTGCTGTTGTTAAGTTGGTCATGTGGCTGTTAAGGGAATTTGGTTTCCCCGTTGACTTTGCTCGTCGGATGGTCGCAAAAGGAGATTGTGTGATCCCAGGGACACACTGCGACCGTCGTAAATGCAGGCTAGTTGCCAAGCACCTGAATGTTGATCACGTGACCAGGGGACGCTGCGGCGGTCGTAAGTGTGAAAAAGAGTCATAAGTCACTGTTTTCAGTGCCTCTGTAACTTCAAGTTGTCCTTAAATGAACTGTTCTCAGCCGAGGATGTCCTGGACAGGAACTCTGCAATTCAGTTACTGAATTACGTCTGGTGCTTTATGCCTTGTTGGTTTACGCTTCCTGTTTACTGGCTGAATAAACTGCCCTCCCTCTTCTTTCTGTTTATAGGTAGTCCTCAACCTATGACTGTAATGGAGCCCCAAATTATGGTCATAAGTCATGTCAGTCATTAAATGGATCGTCACCACGACTGACCTGATTTTATGACATTTTTTTGACTAAGCGAATGTCACGGTCCTTAAGCCAAACCCATTGCGTGCATTGGGCTCTTCTGCCAGAAATTGGAAGTAAATGCCGGTTTCCATATAAAAAAAAAATCATAAATTGTGCTCATGTGACGGTGGGATGCTAATAATAATAATAATAATAATAATAATAATAATAATAATAATAATAATAATAATAATAATAATAATAATAATAATAATAATAATAATAAAGTTGGAAGGGACCTTGGAGGTCATCTAGTCCAACCCCCTGCTCAGGCAGGAAACCCTACACCATTTCAGACAAAGGGCTGTCCAGTCTCTTCTTAAAAACCTCCAGTGTTGGAGCATTCACCGCTTCTGGAGGCAGGTGGTTCCACTGGTTAATTGTTCTCACTGTCAGGAAGTTTCTCCTTAGTTCCAGGTTGCTTCTCTCCTGGATTAGTTTCCACCCATTGCTTCTTCTCCTGCCTTCAGGGGCTTTGGAGAATAGCTTGACTCCCTCTTCTTTGGGGCAGCCCCTGAGATACTGGAAGACTGTTATCCTGTCCCCCCTCGTCCTTCTCTTCATTAAACTAGACAGACCCAATTCCAGCAACCGTTCCTTATATGTTTTAGCCTCCAGTCCCCTGATCATCTTTGTTGCTCTTCTCTGAACTCTTTCTACAGCCTCAACGTCTTTTTTTACATCGCGGTGACCAAAACTGGATGCCGTATTCCAAGTGTGGCCTTACCAAGGCCTTGTAAAGTGGTATTAATACTTCACATGATCTTGATTCTATCCCTCTGTTCATGCAGCCCAGCACTGTGTTGGCCTTTTTGGCAGCTGCAGCACACGGCTGGCTCATATTTAATAGCATAATAGCCATAAATAGCCATAAATAGCCATAAATGCAAGCACAGGAGGGTGGGGAGGGAGAGGGAGAGAGAGGGAGAGAGCTTGTGTCAGATTTTAAAATCTGGGTCTTAAGTACCTTTTGGGGGATCTTTGTAACTTTGAACATTCACTAAGCGATCTTCCCTGCTAAACAGCACCTACCGCATCCCCTTGAGAAGGACTGATTGACAGATAGAAAACAGTGGGGGGAACCGCTCTCAGAAACAGCCCCCCCCTGAGTTTCAGAGGGCCACTCTCCTCTCGGCCCTCCGGGAGCCGGGCTTTTCCCAATTTGTCATTGCAGGTGTTGGTGTGTCTTAGGAAGCCTCCCCCCCCCCCTTAGGCTGTATTGTTTTAGTGGTTTATGAGTTTTTATATTGTGTCTGAAATGTTGTGGGCCACCCGGAGTTATGCACTTAAGATCGGCAGCTATAACACTTTTGAGGGGTCCTGGGTGGCCTCTGAGCTCGGTTGTTTCGTTACAGATGTTTCGCTACCCAACTAGGTAACTTTATCCGTGCTAATGATGCACTTTTGGGCAATGAAACGTCTGCAAGAAAACAACCACAGTCAGAGAGCGTGAAGGACGACCCCTGAGGTCAGCTACAAATATTCTCCTTTATCAGTATAACAGTTATTAAGTACATCTTCCGGCGGGTGGCAACAGTTTTGCTGTCAGTTTTTAACACTGGCTGTCAAAGGAGGCTGCACCGCTCACCTTTTTGATTTAATGTCTCCCCACTGATTTCTGGCTTTTTGTCATTTTTCTTTAGGTGGACCTACCATGACTTCTTGAATCGGTATCGAGTGCTCATGAAAGACAAAAGTATTTCGAAAAAGAAAGACAAGACACTGATTTGTAAGACGTTGTTGGAAAGCCTAATTAAGGTAAGAGGTCAGAGATACTTTATATCAGTGGTGGCGAACCTATGGCACGGGTATCAGAGGTGGTACTCGGAGCCCTCTCTGTGGGCACACGTGCCGTTGCCCCAGCCTTGCCTCCCCCCACGACCCCCTTCTCACCAGCAGCCCCCCTGGAGGAGAGTCGCCCCCGAGCATGGCCCACGTGGAGCAGCGCAGCCAAGGACATGGCAGCCAGGCAGCGTAGACAAGACTCTGCCCTCCTGCCCCAACACGCACAGTTGATGCTGTGGGGCGTGGGCAGAGGGCGTGGCCGCCGTGGCACTGCTGGGCTGCCTGGCCGATCTGCGTCGGGCCCTGGAGGCGGTGAGTGGCCCTACGGGCAGGCAGGGTGGGACAGCGGGGGCGGGGCACGGGGTGGAGCGGGGGCGAGGCCAGTTTTTGGGCACCCGGTCTCTAAAAGGTTCGCCATCACTGCTTTATATTACCAGATCAATCAACCAATCCATTGAATTGGCATGTAATCCAACATCACTGTAGTCCTAAATCCATAATTCTACTCCTCCATTTAACTATAGTCCAAAGCCCCTGAAAAACCATTGCAACCTCTTTGTCAGAAGACTGGAAAGAACGATGGGATCGTTTGGAAGAATCATTTTAATATAGCTTAATTCTGCTCCTTACTGAAAAACTCTTTGCCTATCATCACGTTCCTATTTTAATCATATTTTGTTAAGTGCCAACTTGGATAAATCTTATTTGTTCTACCATATTTAATTTATATTCAGCCAAGCAAAACACTTGGATTAGGTCACATATTGCACTAAACAATGGTATGCTCAAATTTGGTGGAAGGAAGGGAGGGAGGGAGGGAGGGAAGGAAGGAAGGAAAAATGCTTTTTAATATCTTCAATTTTCCTTTTACACTTTCCCAAGGATCCTGACCAGTTTCAGTTTGGACGTACAAAGATCTTTTTCCGTGCTGGCCAGGTGGCCTACTTGGAAAAATTGCGGGCAGATAAGTTCCGGGCTGCCACCATCATGATACAGAAGACGATGCGCGGCTGGATGCAGAGAAGAAAATACAGGAAAACCAGGGAGGCAGCTTTAAGTATCCAGAGGTTCACCCGAGGATATCTGGCACGCAGGTAAGCATAAAGCGAACCTTTTCCCAAGAGAATTTGCTTGCTGGAAATATGGGAATCTGTCCACCTGGCATACAGTATATGGGGCGGCCCACGTTCGAGATCCGAGTGGCATGAGACAGGGTGAGCTCCCGTCCTCGCCCCCAGCTCCTGCCAGCCCAGCAGTTTGAAAGCATGCAAATGCAAGCGGATAAGTAGGTACCACTTTTATGGGAAGGTAACGGCGCCCCGTGGCATCATGCTGACCACATGACCACGGGAATGTCTTCGGACAGCGCTGGCTCCACGGCCTTGAAACGGAGATAGCAGCGTCCCCCTAGAGTCGGCAACGACTAGCGTAGTAAAATCCGCAAGGGCTCCTTTATATATGGAAAGCCATTAAGTTGGATAGCTGCAGTTTTAGAATGATGAAAGAAATAACATTCTTTTTTCTTATCCGAGCAAGGTTGAAAATTAGATATATGAACAATATGAATCGTATAAGAGAACATAAAGGCTCTTTAGCCCCCGAGTCCGATGCTCTGCTCCGCATAGGAAGACGTGTTTAAGCCATTCAGACCGAAAGCTACCCAGCTTTCCTTGAGCACATCTGGCAATCCTGAATCTATCAAGTCACTTGCAGTTATTAAATTACTAGGATTTTTTCTCTTAATAGTAAAATATTGTGTTCATAAGCTGGGAAACGGCCCGGGATACAGGCAATTGCTATGGCATTTTTTTTTCAGGATTCCACCTAACCAAAACAAGAAAACCCCCAGTTACTACAATTAACCCAATCACAAAATATACAAAAAGAATAAAAAGAAAGAACCTCAACAAAAGAGCACGTTTTATTTTTTTTAGAATTACTGTATAAAAATTATTTTTAACAACAAAGGAAACCTTGGCCTGCAAGCCAGTTGATGCCTACCCTTTTGCCTAGATCAGGGGTAGGCAACCTCGGCTCTTTTATGACTCGTGGACTTCAACTCCCAGAATTCCTGAGTCAGCTCTGCTGACTCAGGAATTCTGGGAGTTGAAGTCCATGAGTCATAAAAGAGCCGAGGTTGCCTATCCCTGGCCTAGATGATAAAAAATCAAAGCGCAGAGAATATTGTCTAGCACCCTGCTCTCCGAACGACCACCGGTAGCAGAATCATAAAAATCTCTTTATGCTCACACGACTATAAAGGAAATAGACTAAATTGCTAATGCCCCCAGTCCTAGTTTTCGGCTCATATGCTTTTCTGGTGCCTTGGGAAAAACAACGTGGCAGTTGCTGTGATGGAAAGTACGCAAAGAAAGGTCATTTGTAAAAAAAATAAAATAATACAAGTAGAAATGTTTAAATCTTTCAAGATCTTCTGAGTTCTTTGCTACTATCATTCCTCTGCTGGATTTAGAAGCCCTGTCAGAAGATCTGATGGCTGCCATTTTGTACTTAAGTCCAGTTGCATAGCAACCGTTCAGAGTTACAACAGACCCCCCCCAATAAAAACCTCATGATCTGATTTTAAAGTTATGACTGCTGTCTCCCCCCAACGGAGTCACAGCATCACATTTTGAGCACTTGGCAACAGACTCACTTTTATGACCATTTGTGGTCACATGACTGCAGGTTTTTTATGGGGTTTTTTTTTGCCGGTTTCTGGTGCTTGCTTCCGGTTTCTGACAAAAAGCACTCATTGGATTCATTTAATGACTGCAGCATTCACTTAATGACTGCAGCGCTTGTTTAAAGACTGCTGCAAAAAATGTTATAAAATTGAGTCCAGTCACAGGATGACCTGTAATATCTTACCGGCTGTAATTCTGGCCTCAGTTACAGTCACAAGGTGTGGGCTACCTGCAGCCAGACATTTTCCACAAATTGGCTGAGACCCAGGTTGAGCGTTACTAGAGCAGCTAAATTGGCAAACTTTGAAGAATAATGGAGAATAATGGCTGCTTTGAGACTAGAAGGTAGGGTTGAAATAGTAAACCTTCCACTGACAGAAAAATGAATTCTCCAGAAACTTTGTAGAGCTAGAGCAATTCAAAGGAAAATATCATCAGGTTTTTTTTAATTAATTCAACATTTGGTCTGGTGATCAAGGCATCAGATTCAAAAGTGGGAGACGGTGAGTTCTAGTCCCACCTTAGCTGGGTGACATTTGGACCAGTCACACTCTCTCAGCCCACCTGATAGGGTCGTTGTGGGGAAAATAAGAACAGGAAGGTGTGTTGCATATGTTTGCCACCTCGAGTTATTTGTAAAAATAATAAAGGCAAGATATAAATAAAATAAATGATAAAATAGATGAGGTTGTGAAGTCAAACTTGTCCAGAATTAATTTTGAAGTGATACAAACAGTTGTGGGACAATATTCAGAGAGACGTCAAACATTCCTAAGAAATGGGGAGCGATCGTTTCAAAGAAGAGCGAGAAAAGCTAAGCAGATCAATGTGGTGCAATGCTCGATGTTGCATTAAACCCATCAAAACCCAAATTCAGATCTTCACTCTCTGGGTAACATTGCACCCATATCTGACCCTCAGCCCAGTCTAGCCTATAGGCTTATCATGTCAGGCCCTAAACCAAGAATGACACCTTTGTAGGAGATGACCAGGCTGAGCCCGAGGAAGGGGGGGATCAAACGCCTCGTACGTCACGAGTCCCTGCGCGCCCGACAGAGATCTCAGCCCAGCCTGCCTTGACTGCTTTTCTTATCTCCCGCTCATTTCCCTCAACTGTTAGTTGGTCAGATTCTTGTAGAGACCTTAAGCAGTGCTGGGCTGCATTAACAGAGGGATAGAATTGAGATCATGTGAAGTATTAATACCACTTTACAAGACCTTGGTAAGGCCACACTTGGAATACGGCATCCAGTTTTAGTCACCACGATGTAAAAAAGATGCTGAGACTCTAGAAAGAGTGCAGAGAAGAGCCACAAAGATGATCAGGGGACTGGAGGCTAAAACATATCAGGAACGGCTGCTGGAATTGGGCATGTCCAGTTTAATGAAGAGAAGGACGAGGGGGGACCGGATAGCAGTCTTCCAGTATCTCAGGGGCTGCCCCAAAGAAGAGGGAGTCAAGCTATTCTCCAAAGCGCCTGAAGGCAGGAGGAGAAGCAACGGGTGGAAACTCATCAAGGAGAGAAGCAACCTGGAACTAAGGAGAAACTTCCTGACAGTGAGAACAATTAACCAGTGGAACCACCTGCCTCCAGAAGCGGTGAATGCTCCAACACTGGAAGTTTTTAAGAAGAGACTGGACAGCCATTTCTCTGAAATGGTATAGGGTTTCCTGCCTAAGCAGGGGGTTGGACTAGATGACCTCCAAGGTCCCTTCCAACTTTATTATTATTATTATTATAAACCTTTATATTCCTTTGAACTGCCTGAATCTCCTGATTTTCCCGGCACTTGACAATGTGGCGATTCTTCCAAGCTGAGTTCTTTATTGTTTCTCACCTATAGATACAATCTTACCAGACTGAGGAATCTACTATCTGAATCTATAATCTATTCTATGAACTATTAAGGGAGGAGATATCTTCACCCTTGTTCTCTCACACACAACACACACACAACTCTGGGCTGAGTTGCCTCTTATTCCTCTGGACTGCACCCCCTCCCTCCTTGCTCCATTCCATCACATATCGTGAACCTAAGACGAAGCCCCGCACATTATACTACTCTGTGTGCAGTATATTGCTTTGAGCTTCTGGAGAAGAAGTAGGAAGTGAAACAAATAAATAAATGAAATGGAAATTGCATTTTACAACCCAGCCTGCCATCGTGCAATTAGAGCCACTATTGACTGATTGTCAGAACCAAGGAACACGAAGAAGGCAACAGCACACTTAAAGGAATTGTGGGCAATAACTCACTTCTGCAAAAGCTGTCCATTGAGGACCAGCCGTGATCCATCGCCCACAATTGTTGAGTCTCTGTTGGAAACAGGATGGAGTAGAAAATCTTCGAGGGAAGAACAGCAGTGACAGAAAATCAGTACAGGAGCACTTCTGTTAGGAACAATTGGTTTGTGTTGTCCTTATTTATCGTTGCTAAACCTTTTCCCCTTTTGCTCTTCTGCAGATTGGCTGATCATCTAAGGAAAACAAAAGCGGCCGTTATTTTCCAGAAACAATATCGAATGTTAAGGATACGCCGGGCCTACAAAACCATCCGTCAAGCAGCTATCACGATCCAGTCCTTCACCCGAGGAATGTTCGTTAGGAAGAACTATCAAAAGGTTTGTGGGTTTTTTTTAACTTTTTGCCTTCAGAACACACAAAAAGGTTTACATTTCAGTAGCCTTGTCTTTTTCTGTTTCACGCTTCATGGAAGTCAGATGCAAGTCGCCGGAGACTTAACGACCCATCATTTATCGGCCACTGGGAATTGTGGCCTCTGAAAGGTCTCATAAAGAGACTTCTAGCCGTCATGAAACGTTGTGCAAAGAAAGAAGAATATTTGTGGCTCAGGGTTGCAATGAGGGGTCCTGGACGCTCTCTGAGCTGGGTTGTTTTCTCCAATCAGGTTACCTAGCTTGGGTAATGAAACGTCTGCAAGAAGACAACCCAACTCAGAGGGCACCAGAGACCCCTCAGTGTTGTACAGCCCTACACAACCTCCTTGGCGATCACATGACTGTGTTTTGAGCACTTGGCAACCAGCTCACTTTGACGACTGGTTGAAGCGTCCTGCAGTCATGTGACCGTGGTTTGATTTCCCCCCCCCCGACAGAAAACTCCCATATGGGTGAATGGATTCAAACCTAAATCCATGTGAATAGCTCAGTGTCCATTGTAAAAACAGTCGTAAAATCAGCTCTAATCGTGTGGGTGCCTCGATCTTCATGACGTATGACTGAAATTCCAGTCCCAATTTTGGTCATAAGTCAAGGACTACCTGTATAATCTTTAGTGTGAACCAGGTTCTTACATGGTTATATACCAACAAATAAAATGCTGCATATATTCATTTTCTTGGGAAGGAAATTAAAGGAGTTTGTCCTAGGTACTGTGGACCAGGGAACGTACATACATATGTATTGCATAGTTTTATTGTCTTAATTCTCATTAGTATTTCATAGGCAATCACAAATATAGTAAAGTAGGTTAAGAACAAATACATTAAAAAAAACAACTGCTAAAATGGAGCAGATAAGTAGTAAGTATAGTTATCGTCTAAAAACATCTGCCACATTTTATTCTCTTTAATTCAAGCTAGATTCTATTGTAAACCTTCAAAAACTTCATTATGTTAAAGATAGATAAGGATAGATCAACAATGCTAGCAGACAATCAACATCATTTTTTAAAAATATTCAATCTGTCTTTAATACCGTCTTCAGTCCTGCATAACATTTTGCTTCTGAATTCCTGTTGTCTTCAGTGTAATTTAAGCATCTTACTTCTCATCTAGATTACAAGTCTTGCCTTTACTGAAAACTGGCAAGATCACTCCACACTTGGTTGTGAATGCCAGATTTCAAAACACAATGTTGTTTGCTATGTTACATGTCTTAGTTCTCTAATTGTAGAAGATTGGTAACAGAACAGAGATCTCAAAATGAGGTGAGAACATTCCATATGCTGGTATAGTCAAGGAATAAGTCTTCTCAATTCTTATTAGCAGCTCCTGTCAAAGTCTTAGGTGGATGTCTTCTCCATCACCTTCCATTGTTTGAGGTATCTCTTCCTGCTTCATTGGTAATTAATCTGGAAAGTCAGCCATCCATCTTATATATAAAACCTGAGCCCAACCTTTGTTAGGTATTAATCCTATAACTTAAGGTTCACTTTTGAAATCCTCAGATGGATGCCATCCTATCCAAAGAGTACAAAGGTTTTATTTTCTTTGAAGTAACCTTCAAACTGCTCTTGAAGGATTAACTAGTGACATACCAACAGCCTTTATCCCGTAATTCTTAGAATACAAATGGGTACCCTATTGCTATAGAGCTAGACAGATTGAAGTTGTTTGACAGGTGAGGATAGGAGTGTCTAAGAATAGTAACTCACAACCTTGTTACTTTTATATCTGATTACAATAGTGTGATATACCTGGGGCTGGCCTAGGGTGTTACCCAAAAACTGCAGTGGAGCAGCAGGTCCTCTGTCTACTAGGCCAGAGCTGATTAATTTTACAGCATCTGAGCTGTAGGAACTCGCCTTGACTTTCAGTAGGTTTCTGTATAAAACTCAAGGGGTTGGTAATAACCTATAAAACAACTTGAACTTAAGGCCGGATATCTTTAGGACTCCTCCAAAGAAGTTTCATTTTATCAGGGAATAGATGCTCCAGGTTTTCTCAGCACAAGGGGGTAGAAGGAGAGCTTGGTCATGGTTGCCTAGCCTCTTCAATAAGTCCCCAAACAGTCATGTTTAGCTGTCAAGAGTTGGCTTCTTTGGCAATCTCTTAAAGCAGGGGTAGTCAACCTTGGCTCTTTTATGATTCGTGGACTTCAACTCTCAGAATTCCTGAGCCAGCTTAGCTGGCTCAGGAATTCTGGGAGTTGAAGTCCACGAGTCATAAAAGAGCCAAGGTTGACTACCCCTGTCTTAGAGACTGAACAGTTTGTTCTTTGCTATTCTCACTTTCTTACTGTTCTACTCTAATATCATTAGCAATATTAATTTTACTTTTATTGATTGGGGGATTGGAATTAGGTTCTAATTTATTATGCTGCACAATATCTTCGCATCTATTCCCTATTTTGACCGCTAGAGCCAACCTGTAAGCGAAGAGCAGGCAGAGCCTGGGGGCAGAGTCAAGTGAGTAATCAGCCTAGAGTCCTTACACTCCCACAAACGGTCTCAGTCAACCCCTCTTGAATTCGCTTGTCTCTTATCTATCGTATCTCTTCTCTTATTTAGTCCTGACAGTTAGCTGACTAGATTCCTCTGGGGTGGGCATGAGCAATAAATCACCTTAGCTGGAACTCTGTGTGTGGTCCCGATTCCTCATGCTTGACACAACCTGATGGAAGAAGGAGAGAGGATGGGCAGGATGGAAAGGTCGCCCCTTCTTCTCCCAGTATGGTTGTCATCTGGAGTAGGATTAGTTAATAATAATAATAATAATAATAATAATAATAATAATAATAATAATAATAATAATAATAATAATAATAATAATAATAATAATAATAATAATAATAATAATAATAATAATAATAATAATAATAGTAAAGTTGGAAGGGATCTTGAAGGTCATCTAGTCCAACCCCCTGCTCAGGCAGGAAACCCTACACCATTTCGGACAAATGGCTGTCCAGTCTCTTCTTAAAAACTTCCAGTGTTGGAGCATTCACCGCTTCTGGAGGCAGGTTGTTCCACTGGTTAATTGTTCTCACTGTCAGGAAGTTTCTCCTTAGTTCTAGGTTGCTTCTCTCCTTGATCAGTTTCCACCCGTTGCTTCTTGTCCTGCCTTCAGGCGCTTTGGAGAATAGCTTGACTCCCTCTTCTTTGTGGCAGCCCCTGAGATACTGGAAGACTGCTATCATGTCCCCCCTCGTCCTTCTCTTCATTAAACTAGACATCCCCAATTCCTGCAACCGTTCCTTATATGAGTCACAGTGTTTAAAGACAGGGGGAACTTTCGGCCTGTCTCTCTCTCTCTTCACAACGGAGATGGAAGAGTGGCTTTTTGTGATGTCCCCTGTAGTTCTGAGCGAAGGCATCTGATGAAGCTCGGGAGCATTCACTAATAGCCGGGCAAATCTGTTCTCTGAATCCGAGACTGACTGTATTATAACCCTTTGCTTCTTTCTAAGGAAGCATTCTGCTACTTAGCTTTTCGGAATAATGAGGGACTTCTACTGAATTTATTTATTTATTTATTTATTTATTATTTTAATTTATATACCGCCCTTCTCCCATAGGACTCAGGGCGGTTCACAGCATATTAAAACAAATAATATACCCAAAATACAAAAAATACACAATACAAAAATACAAAAGAATAAACCCTGATAAAAGCCGAATTAAAACCAAATATTCCCAGCTGTGTTTCCGATTAAANTCGCTTTAAAGGTGGTAACTAACACCTTAAAGCGCACCCGGAAGACCACTGGTAACCAGTGCAGCTCGCGCAGCAGCGGTGTTACATGGGAGCGACGAGTCCCTCCCAACACCGCCCGCGCGGCCGCATTCTGGACCAGTTGGAGTCTCCGGGTGCTCCTCAGAGGGAGCCCCATGTAGAGAGCATTACAGTAGTCCAGATGATGGTCCAACATTGCATCCTTAGAGTTCTTTTGCAAGTTAGTATTTAATAAATATAGGGAAATAAGAAGTTGGGAAAACATGATTTGGAAGTATTTGCTGTAATTAATCCCTGGTGGGTTATCTGTATATACCAATGGTGGCGAACCTATGGCACGGGTGCCAGAGGCGGCACTCAGAGCCCTCTCTGTGGGCACGGGTGCCATCGCCCCAGTCCTAGGCCTTCAGCTGGGTTTTATAAAACCTTTTCGCTTTAGGCCTCCGCCGCCATGTGCAAAAAAAAAAAGGTTCAATCGGTCAATTTCAACTTCTCGCGAGAAAAAAAAAAGATCTTGCAAAGTTGGAATTGATTGACTGAACTTTTTAGTCCCACCCAGTCTGCCGTTACCACTGCAGCCACGCCCAGCCAATGGGCCACGCCCACCCAACGGGCCACGCCCACCCAATGGGCCAAACCCACCCAATGGGCCACACCCAGCCAATGGGCCACACCCACCCGGCACCCGACGATGCATAAGTGGGTTTTGGGTTGCAGTTTGGGCACTCGGTCTCTAAAAGGTTCGCCATCACTGGTATATGTACTATACAGTCTGGGAAAATATTATATATAAAACAGCTCAAAAGTTAACTTAGCCAGGCACCGTTGTTCCGTAGCTTTGAGCCCGGCCTTCCCTTTATTTGTGGCATACTTAATAATTTATGACCTAATAGGAAGAAATTCCTGGACTGCGTAATAAGATTTCATCCTCACCTATTTAGCGGCATGGCTTATTGGTGTCCGTCAGTTACATTTCACCGATACCTTCCATCTCTTCAGCAACTCTTTTCGTGTTTCTTGCCAGCACTATTCGATGGCGATTGCTAGGCCTTTTCTTTCCAAGCTGGCTTTTTCCCCTGACTCAGGACTTAGCTCATTGTCAGAGTGCAGAAGCATAAACTGTAGATATTTCAGTGTTTAAGCTCCACGGACAGAAGCAATTTTTCTGCAGTTCTTCGGAGGGCTGCTAGCTTAATGAAGCCACACAGAGAAGAAGAACCTCAGGGGAAAATGGAAAGATTAACATCGGGCTACAGCAGGGGTAGTCAACCTTGGCTCTTTTATGACTCGTGGACTTCAACTCCCAGAATTCCTGAGCCAGCACAGCTGGCTCAGGAATTCTGGGAGTTGAAGTCCACGAGTCATAAAAGAGCCAAGGTTGACTACCCCTGGGCTAGAGAGAAGAAAAGTCACACTTTCTGAGACTCGGAGAGACGCCACTCAGGAGCATACACGGAGTTGCCATTTTCATTACTCTTAGACCAGGGAGGTCCAACCTTGGCAACCTTAAGACCTGTGGACTTCAACTCCCAGAATTTCCTAGCCAGCCATGCTGGGTGGGGAATTCTGGGAGTTGAAGTCCACAAGTCTTAGATGTCTCTGGAGATTCTCAGTCATCCAGCTTACGGTTGTCCCTAAGGTGCTTTTTCAAAAGGCAACTAAGACTTCCTTTGTTTTTCCTTGAAGATGTTTCACTTCTCATCCAAGAAGCTTCTTCAGTGCTAAACTTCAGTTCTTCAAAACTGAAGAAGCTTCTTGGATGAGAAGCGAAACATCTTCAAGGAAAAACAAAGAAAGTCGTAGTTGCCTTTTGAAAAAGCACCTTTGGGACTCAAGTCTTAAGTTGCTAAGGTTGGACATCCCTGTCTTAAACTAACATTTTAACCACTGTTCCATAATAGTGTATGGATTCCATTGTCTATCTTTGTGCCTTTAGGGACACAATAACCAACTACTGAGTATTCATTTTGGAGCAATGTCAGTCTTCAATCATTTTGCCACTACGAAGTGCCTACGTGTTAATGGCTATTCCCCCGTTCACAATTGCCACAAGCAGCGTGAATTGGTATTTCTCATATTCATGTCAAATTATAAACTGCTGAAGAAATAATACCGCACACTTGATTTTAATATAATTATTTTGTTGGATCAGGTCCAGATGGATGTAATGTGAAGATGGTGAAAAAAAAATAGATCATGGTTCTACTGAGACAAATCATGGACTATTTGTAATAGATTAAATTGCTTTCTGTCTCATTGTTTTAATAATAGCACAACCAAAATATTGACCAACATTTCTATATAATATCCATACCTGTAGTCAGTATAAAGATGAAGTATTGATTTAACCTAATTTTGGGACTGGTTTGATACACATATTCAGCCACAAACTAACTGTACAGGGTACATTTTCAAAGCACGTTTAGCTAAAATGAACTGGGTTAACTTGTATAGCTAGAATATTAGAACTTCTGGCTTATGGCAAACCAAATACAGATGTATTTTTATGTTGCTTACAAGTTACGGACCATTTCTCACGTGACACCCCATTTTATTGATCTCGGGGTTCTAGTAAAACAAAGTTGCAAGCTTTATACTTGATACATACTCATCCGTGATCTAATTCATCAATTTCCTATTGATATTCCTACGCAAAGAAACTCAATAATGTATCTGCTTCCATTTTTGCACATTTTATAACCACCTAGCCTTATGTTGATAATATAATAATGTCTCTGTAGGCACCAAAATGAACCTTACAGGTGTTTGGAGATTTGGTGACTTTTTAGACTACTAAGGGCAAAAATAATATTTGCTTAGTGCTATTTCTTCCTCATCACGGAAGTGCAGAAAAATCAGAATGTGGCCAAACAATAAGTCATTGTTTGGTGATGAACATTTTATGGCAAAACTGAGCTATGGCTATTAACATTTGCTAAGGTGATGCATGAATTTTCCCATGGACCACTTGTGAAGTTCCTTAGTGGGGAATTTTCCCCGCAGTGTGGTGCTCTTTTGATGTATTGAATTTCAAATCTCATAACCACCCACCATGCAAGGAGGGGATAGTGGAAGTTAGAAGACATCAAGAGACCACTAGATTAGGAACGACTCTTGTATATCAACTTTCTGATGCCTTTACTACTCAAAAACGGAGACTTTCAAAGCTGTATATAACCTCTAAGAGTGTGCTCTTACTCTGATCAAATTCCCAGCCAGGAGGGCCATCACTGAAAACATTGAGCGCCGTTGTAAGCACTTTTTGATTTTGCTCTGTTGAAAAAAAACCAAATTCGTATTGATCAGTAGAGATCGATGACACCTAGACACTCCTAGATGGTGTTCTACTACGTTGATGCATGCTACCGTATTTTTTCCCCTCTCTTCTGTACGTTGCTATGTGTCCGTGTGCTTTTAAGATACTTATGGAGTACAAGGCCGTCATCCTCCAGAAACACACTCGAGCTTGGCTGGCTCGGAAGAATCTCTGCAAGTTCAGATGTGCAGCTGTGGTGATCCAGTGCTACTTCAGGCGCATGAAAGCCAAGCGGGAGCTGAAAGCTCTGAAGATAGAAGCCCGGTCGGCAGAGCACCTGAAGAGGCTCAATGTCGGCATGGAGAACAAAGTTGTGCAACTACAGAGAAAGATAGATGAACAGGTAAAATCCACCGAGTCTTGCTCTGTTGTGTGTACCTGCATCTCCCTGGTCTTCTGCATGGAAGTGTTTACTAATAGTCGCCTCCATTTTGTTTGCCTCCATATCTACAAAATATTGCCCAGCTCTACAACTTGGTAGAACAGCATGAAAGTATAAAATTGTCAAGGTTGGTGTTTCCCCTTGGTGCTTTAGTGACAATTTCTTTGTTTTCTATTTTGTCAACTCTCTTTCCATTTGATGACAAAGACTTTGCTTTGTTAATTTCTCCTGGCTGGGTGATGTCCAGACTTTTCACAATGCGATCCTTGGCTGTCTGATGAGCTTCAGCTAAATCCTAAGGGAAGCCATAATGCTGGGAATTTTCCAGGAGGCTTCCAAGGATGGGATTTTGTAGCACGTTTTTTTTTAAAGGCAAGGAGCAGCGAAATTCAAACTCAGATAAGTTGAGACAAAGAGTGAAAGTTGTTAAATAAAAAAATTAAATATCCAGGATGAGAGATGACGGGACTCAGGAAAGTTATGTGGGATGTTCAGTAATGCTGTGCGGAGTTTGGGAAATAATTCAGAAAAATATTATTTCATTTATTTGTTTATAAATTTATACGCTGTTGATCTCACTGTGAAGCTCTCTCCCTCTTAGTTGAATCCTGGCTCTTATTTGGGGCAAATCATAGGGACAAGTTCCTTTGTTGAGAAAATGAGGGCACGCTCCGCAGCGTCTTAGGCTACAGAGCTGTAGATGGGATGAGTGTGTTATTTCATTTTGGGAACTATGGGCTAGATCAGAGCTCCCCAGCCTTTCCGGATTGGTGGCCCAGAGGGAAAAGGAGGAGCAGGGAAATGTGCGCGTGTGCATGCACAAATAGGGCCACTAGTGCCCACGTGGCAGTGCTAGTACGAGTGGAGGGGTGCATGCACACATGTGTGCACTTGCCAGCCATTCCCGCAGCCCGGTGGCCAACAGGCCCACAGGTTGGAGACCCTTGGGCTAGATAATTTTGGGTGGCAAGGCAAATGTGGCCTGCAGGCCATAGTGACATGGTTCCGAAAAGAAGTAGCTTTTCAAAGAACTTTGAGGCTTATTTACCTTAAAGAATCCTTTGTTTTGCTACATCGCTTCGGCACGTACAATAAAGAAGCCAAAAACTGAAACCTCCCACCCCCAAGCACCCGTAACAACGCATAACTCACTCCTTCATTTTACAGTCATCAGTCATATTCTCCAATTAGTGTGAAGTGTGAATTGCCCCCTCCCTATTTCTCCTGTTACAGCTGACCTTGGCTGTGCTGTGCTGTGCTGAGATATTGTTATGATTAACTAGCATACTTTCCCATCTACTAGGCTAGTATTGTCTGCTTTAACTCTAGAAGTGATATGCAGGCTAAATAAAACATGTTTGCTTCTTCACATATGGCAAGCAAGAACATCCAACGTTAGCAGTCTTGACACATAGGTTGACAAACTCTAGACCAGTGATGGCGAACCTTTCAGAGACCCAGTGCCCAAACTGCAACCCAAAACCCACTTATTTATTACCGGATGCCGGGTGGGCGTGGCTGTGGTGGTCATGGCAGACTGGGTGGGCGGGGCCAGGGCAGCAGGGGCCAGTCCCTCGCCATCTCTGGGGCACGGCACGTGTGCCCACAGAGAGGGCTCTGAGTGCCGCCTCTGGCACGCGTGCCACAGGTTCGCCACCACTGCTCTAGACTACTGTTTCTCAACGGCTAAATTCATTGAGCCGGGAAAATCCCAAGTAGCAGCCCCAGTACTGGGTTACTATTCTTGGGTTAATGTCATGGTTCCAACAGATGAAACCAATTAAAAGGACTTCAAGGCAAAGATTTCTTCCTTAAAGAACAGTTTATTCAGGAAACATTCATCTGTCGGCAATCCACATAGCACCTAAGATATTGTTCCACCATTGCGTACGCTTTTTCAGCCGCCCCATTCGTAGACAGGTGAAAAGCCGATGACAGTCCTTGCGTTGAACCAATTATTTTCAGAAAGTTTATAGTGAACTTCAACTCCCACCTAAATTCCAGCTGAAGGACATAGGAGCATGGGCTTCTCTGAATCTCTTTAAAGCAACTACATATCTGCAGCTGCTTCACAGTCCCAGCTGCTTTAAAGAGCTGCAAGTAGAATGTCAAGGATCCCACAGATCAAAGCTCCTTTCTGTATCCGTATTTACAGCATTGCAGTTCTCTAACATCTAGTCCAGCGGTCTCCAACCTTGGCAACTTTTAAGACTGGTGGACTTCAGCTCCCAGAATTTCCAGCCAATATGGCTGACTAAGGAATTCTGGGAGTTGAAGTCCACATGTCTTAAAGTTGTCAAGTTTGGAGACCCCTGATTTAGTTATTTAAAAGTATGGGTGAGCTGTACTTTTACAGGTCTTTCAACTGAGTGAAACTATCACACAATAATCTCAGACTTTTCTCATATAGCTTGCGCTGTAACAATATTGTTGAAAATGAAAATTCCATATACACAAACAAAAAAAACCTCTTGGAATGGCTAGAAATAAATATAAAGGTCAAAGCTGGCTAAAACAAATTGACAGCCTGAAGTTTTCCGTGTCCAGCAAAAGCCGAGCCGTGTAGCCTGGCTTGATCCTGGCTCGGGCTGCATTAAATGAGATAATGGACAAATTATAAAGAGAAATTGGCTCTATCTTCCGTTTTATCAGGAAAGTAAATGAAACTGCCTGCCAAGCCAGGCTTTGCTATTAAGCCTCTTTTGTGCCGATCCTCCAGCATTTATGCTGGAAAAGCTATGCTGAGCTAACAGTGAATGTGACAACAATCTCAGTTCCCTTATCAGGGGCTACAAACAGAAACACTGGGTTCTTTTTTAGAAGGAGGTACATATTTTTTCTGTCTCTTCATTCGGTACAAAAACAGGTTTGCATAGGCTTGTAAGTTTTATAGCTGGAAATTCCTGATGAGTCTTGGTCTAAGTTGGCTGGAAAGTTGGCGGCCCGTGTTCGAGATCCGAGCGCCGTGAGACAGGGTGAGCCCCCCGTCCTCGCCCCCAGCTCCTGCCAACCCTAGCAGTTCGAAAGCACACAAATGCAAGTAGATAAATAAGTACCACTTTGATGGGAAGGTAGCAGTGCAACGTGGCATCATGCTGGCCACGTGATCGCGAAAATGTCTTCGGACAGCGCTGGCTCCACGGCCTTGAAACGGAGATCAGCAGCGCCCCCTAGAGTCGCCAACGACTAGCGGAGTAAAATCTGCAGGGGCTCCTTTACCTTACCTTGAGATTTGAGATTTGAGATTTTATTAAATTTATACCCCGCCCTTCTCCCGGAGGACTCAGGGCGGCTTACAGCCAGTTTAAAACAGTGGTACAATACAAAATTTAAAAAGATTAAAAATAACTATTTAAATTTGGCCGCTTCTACTAAAAATTTAATTTAAAACCCCTTTAAAATACCCCTAGGCCAGTCCTGCCTG